CTTTTCCCCCCCCCCAGGGCATCGCGGGGACGGACGTGGCCAAGGAGGCCTCGGACATCATCCTGACGGACGACAACTTCTCCAGCATCGTGGCCGCCGTCATGTGGGGCCGCAACGTCTACGACAGCATCGCCAAGTTCCTGCAGTTCCAGCTCACCGTCAACGTGGTGGCCGTCGTGGTGGCCTTCACCGGCGCCTGCATCACCCAGGTGGGCACGGGGGGAGAGGCCCTTCGCCCCATAGGAGGTGGTGGATGAGGTCCTACACCCCATAGGAGGTGTTCTACAGCCCATGGGAGATGTTGGGAGATGTTATGCAGCCTATAGGAGATGTTGGGAGAGGTCCTACAGCCCATAGGAGATGTCCTACAGCCCATAGGAGATGTTGGATGAGGTCCTACACCCCATAGGAGATGTCCTACACCCCATAGGAGATGTTGGATGAGGTCCTACACCCCATAGGAGATGTTGGGAGAGGTCCTACAGCCCATGGGAGATGTTCTACACATTGTACGAGATGTTGGGAGAGGTCCCTCATCCCATAGGAGATGTTTTACATCCATGGGAGATGGTGGGAGAGGTTCCTCACCCCATGGGAGATGTTCTACAGCCCATGGGAGATGTTGGGAGATGTTCTACAGCCCATAGGAGGTGGTGGGAGAGGTCCTACAGCCCATGGGAGATGTTGGGAGAGGTTCTTCACTCCGTGAAAGGTCGTGGGAGGGGTTCTTCACCCCACAGGAGATGTTGGGAGAGGTCCTACAGCCCATAGGAGATGTTGGGAGATGTTCTACAGCCCATAGGAGATGTTGGGAGAGGTTCCTCACCCCATGGGAGATGTTCTACAGCCCATGGGAGATGTTGGGAGAGGTCCTACAGCCCATGGGAGATGTTCTACAGCCCATAGGAGATGTTGGGAGAGGTTCCTCACCCCATGGGAGATGTTTTATATCCATGGGAGATGTTGGGAGAGGTCCTACACCCCATGGGAGATGTTGGATGAGGTCCTACAGCCCATAGGAGATGTTCTACAGCCCATAGGAGATGGTGGGAGAGGTCCTACAGCCCATAGGAGATGTTGGGAGAGGTCCCTCACCCCACAGGAGATGTTGGGAGAGGTCCCTCACCCCATAGGAGGTGGTGGGAGATGTTCTACAGCCCATAGGACATGTTGGGAGAGGTCCCTCACCCCACAGGAGATGTCCTACACCCCATGGGAGATGTTGGGTGGTGTCCCTCCCCCCGTGGCCATGTCCCCAAGGCGTGTCCTCCCCCCCCCACCCTCTCCCCCTCAGGACTCCCCCCTGAAGGCCGTGCAGATGCTGTGGGTCAACCTCATCATGGACACCTTGGCCTCCCTGGCGCTGGCCACCGAGCCCCCCACGGAGGCCCTGCTCCTGCGCAAGCCCTACGGCCGCGACCAGCCCCTCATCTCCCGCACCATGCTGAGGAACATCCTGGGCCACGCCGCCTACCAGCTCCTCGTCATCTTCACCCTCCTCTTCGTCGGTGAGGCCACCCCCGCCCCACGGGAGACGTTGGGTGGTGTCCCTCACCCCATAGCTACGTCCCCAAGGTGGCCCCATCCCACGGGAGGTGGCCCTCGCCCCATGGGAGATGTTGGTTGATGTTCTTCACCCCATGGGAGATGTTGGAAGAGGTCCTACACCCCATGGGAGATGTCATACACCCTACAGGAGATGTTAGGTGGTGTCCCTCACCCCATAGTTACATCCCCATGGTGTCCCCGTCCCACAGGAGGAGTCCCTCACCCCACGGGAGACGTTGGGTGGTGTCCCTCACCCATGGCTACATCCCCATGGTGTCCCCATCCCATGGGAGGTGTCCCCCACCCCACAGGAGATGTTGGTTGATGTCCCTCACCCCACGGGAGATGTTGGTTGATGTTCCTCACCCCATGGCCATGTTCCTAAGATGTTCCTCTCCCACGGGAGGTGTCCCTCACCCCACGGCAGACGTTGGGTGGTGTCCCCCCCCCCACGGTGACGTGTCCCCCCCCCAGGGGAGCTGCTGCTGGACATCGACAGCGGGCGGCAGGCCCCCCTGCACGCCCCCCCCTCGGAGCACTACACCATCATCTTCAACACCTTCGTCATGATGCAGATCTTCAACGAGGTCAACGCCCGCAAGGTCCACGGCGAGAGGAACGTCTTCCAGGGCGTCTTCGCCAACCCCGTCTTCTGCACCATCGTCCTCGGCACCTTCGCCGTCCAGGTGGGGACCCCCAAAACCAGGGGGGGCACCCCAAAACCATGGGGGGGGCACCTCAACCCATGGGGGGGGCACCCAACGTGTGGTGGGACCCATGGGGACATCTTGATTTGGGGAGAACGTGGGGACCTTGTTGTCCCAGGGACCTTGGCCACATGGGGGGGGACACGGGGGGGACCCC